AGCTGAAGATAAAAGAAAATATTTGATTATTAGGAAGATATTCTGTCTATTAAATCAATATTATAAGATGATAGAGAATATAAAAAGACTATTTTATTACTACATAAGTATAAGATCATATTTTTATATCAACTCATCAATACTACTATAATGATACTTAAAAAATAGAAAGCAATTCAAATTCTCTTTAGTAGATACAAGGAACCAGTTCTCTTCTGATACAAAAAAGTTTGTAAAAAGACAATAATAAATCCAGATCTCCTACAAAACTCTCTATATAAATTCAAATGGACAGTTTACAATATGCAGATTAAAACATTCTCAACAAACCTAAATAGAAGAAAAACATATTGGATAGTCTATACTAATACTCTGATAAATGTATTAAATAAGACAATATTCATAAACAACAAATTCAATTTTATGTTATATCAGGTAGTATATAATTTTACTAGTAATTATATTCATCTCTAATCAGATAGAACAGTACAGTCAGTAGAAGTAGTTTTATAACAAGTTCATCTTCTTTCACAACTAAACAGATATAACAATCTAAGAAAAAAAAACCAAATTCTTTTGCCAGGAAATCTTATAAACTGATAAATAAACATATATTATCAAATAGTGACTCTACCAACTATCAAATCTATAGAAGTAAAGATTCATGTGAAAGACTGGGACAATACATTAATAGAACAAGTCATATAAATAAAAGAATATAAAGATGAATTTATAAATTTTCTAAGATATAATAGAAGAAATATGATTGATTAACTTACTTTTATATAGATAGCTTCTATAAAAAAGAAATAATAGACTGTAAACTCGAGATAGGTTTAACTTGGACTTAATAGTGGATAGCAAAATGGTTAAACAGTTCTCAACAGGAGTTTTTACTTGGCCATCTGCAATCAGTGCTAAAATATTAGCTATTCTTACTGCACTATATACTACCTTTCAAAACATAACCATTATAATTAACACTAATTGCAACACTGCAATTAAAATATAGAAATCCATTTGTTCATAAACAGAGACATCAATAAGAAGATGAACAAAAATCATTAACTAGCCACTATGGAATAAAATCAAAGACCTGGTGAAGAAAAAAAATCTAAATTTGGAAATCTTATAGATCAAAGTTCATAGAATCAACAGATTTAACAATCAAGTAGATTTACTTGCAAAACAGACTAGATGAGAGAATCCAATAACTTGGTATTTACTACTAGAGCTAGGAAGAGTCCTCGCAATAATCATATAAAGAAAATATACAATAGAGATCAGTATCAGAGATTTCATTAAAATATTCAATAAGAAAAAAATTGAACTAGACTGAACAATACAGAAAAGGATTCGGGATCTTTGGATCCAAAATAATAAAGTCATAGATTGACTAATCTTTTGGAATTGGTTCAATCTAATCAATACTTTTGATACTCTTTCAAGATCAATAAAGACAAAAGCTTTCTAACTAACCTAACACACAATGAACTTTTAGTTCTACAAATACTTAAGAAAAGGAAACCAGATATGTATACTATATCCACTTATCCAGTATGTGAACTTCCAAAAAATATATTAGAATATCTCTTTAAATATCTAGCCATTAAAAAAACCAGGAAAGACATATAGCAGAAAGCAAATAAAAAGATTCACAAATATATTAGCAAAGAAGTTAAAGATAAAGAAGAAGTTCAATGAGTAATAAACAATTGAATAGACTAATAGTTAAAAGAAATTCAGAAATTTAACAGGTGCCTTTTTAATACTATATATGGATATATGAAAGAAGATCTTTGAAGAAATATCTCAAGTACTAACTTAAGATTCCACCTGCAACTATACAAAATATAATTGGCAAGCTCTGTCAAAAAATGTGAGTAAACTTCAAAAAGAAGATTTGGAATAATCATTGTATCAAAGTTATAGAATGGAAAAGAAGTAGAAGATTATTAAAAAAAATAAAGACACAAGTATAGATCTAATATACAAACTGAACAGGACCAAAAATCAATGTTATTACCTCTGGAATATCTGAACCTAAAAGGTACTAAAAAAAAAGAAAGAAGTATATAGTGATTATTAAGAATTGTGTTTGTTATAAAATCAAATAGTTTTGTTTTTAACTGTAAACAAAACTTAGAATAATATACAGAAATTACTTGTAAGCAATGATTTTATTAATTAGAGGAGTTATTTAAATTAGTAAAGGGACAAAATATCATTTCTTAGGTTGTATTTAGAGAATAGTTTTTTGATAATGAGTAAGTTAATATATGAAAATCACAACAATTTATAAATATCTAATATATTTACAATAAAAACATATCATGTTAACCTGACTATGGATTAAAAAAAAATTATTTTAATATATTATTAATCATAAAAGAATTAATTAATATTTAATTTCTATCTCATTTTTTTAATTAGATTAACTTACATATTAAGTTCAGATAATAAAAAAGTTATTATTTATTAAAGCTAGTGTTCATTAAAGCTAAAATATTTTTCTTATCATTCTAATCAAATAAGTTTAATTACAAAATTTCTTTTCTATTTCAGTTAAACAATAAGATAAAATAATTTTTGGTTTATATTGAGTTTCAATCTTTTAATTACAATTAAAAATGTATCTATTTAAAAATTATTAAATAACATTGTAGTTAATGGATTTCTTTTTTTTTATCATTATAAGAATAATAAAAGATATTTATTAATAAAATTTCTTTAACTAGATATAGTCACTAGAAAATATTATATTAAAATACCATTGATTTAGTTTCTATTGAGTTATATCAAAACCTAGAATTTACTATATATCATTTTTTTATCATAAGTGAATCAAAATTATTGAATAAAAAAGTTAGAACTCGATATATTTTCTAAAAGTAAAATTTCTTATTAAATAATAAGTCTTTTTAAACAGTGTATAAAAAGAAATCAAGATAAAAAATAGATAAATTTTTTAAATAGTTAAAAAAGAAAAGAAGATATCACTATAAGATATTTCTTATTGAGAAGAGTATCTTAAAAGATAAATATATATTATTGAGTAATTATATTTTTGAATAGTTAAAATATCAGGTTATTAGAAAATAAAGTTTTGTTTTTTAATTATAATCAAAATATTTTTTTACTAAATAAGTCTTTTTATAAACAGTAATAAATATAATTATCATATAAATTACTTTAATATTCATATTAAATATTATAATTGTTAAAGTTTTTGCTAAAAGTTTTGAATTATGATGATTATTTGATTTTAATTTATATACAATAATCTTTTTTAATTAAAATTTTTTGAAATTATTTTCTTTAAAATTTAATTTTTTAAGATTACAATAAATAATCAATATAATTATGTCAGTTCTAGAATATATTTTATTTGAAAAGTAATTCTATTTTTCTATAAATGTAATATATTTTAATATAATATATATTTTTCAGAAAATGATATTATAAGAATAAGTTTATAAAAAAAATAAATCCAATTAAAGTTTTTAATAAAATATATATATTTGTTAAAATATATTTTATATTTAAAATTTTATGTGAATTGCTTTTGTTTTGAAAAAGTTATTTAAATTTATAGTATGTAACAAAACTTTTGGAAATTTTTTAAAATGTATATTTTTGCTTATATATTAATAAAAAATTATTCAAATTATTTAAAACTTTATAATTTATTTTTTAAAGCATAAATATAAAAAAATATAAAATATATATATTAAAATTATTATGTAATTTATTTTTTAATTTTAATTTTAAATTTATAAACAAAAAGTTTTACATATAAAAAAAAAAGATTATAAAAATTTTTTTAAAAAATAAATTTTAAAAAATTTATCAAGTTACTTTATATAACAATCTTAATTAATTTTGATTTTTTATTTATAAGAAAATATTTATAAAATTTTATATAAAATAAATAAATTTTCATTGAATTATAAAAAGTAAAAAAATTTTTATTGAATTTTCGTACTGATTTTATATAGTAAAAACATGATAAAAAATTTATAAATTAATTTTATAAGTAATTTTTTTGGAATTTAAATAAAAAATTTAATATAATAATAATATAAAACTTATATAAATAGTCTTAAGTAACCTTATTCTTTAACTTTTAATAAATATATATTTAAATTTTTATATTATTTAAATAATTTTTTATCAAATAAAATTCCAAAAAGTTTTGTTTACACATTATATTTTTAATTCAATTCCAATTTCAAATAAAATCGAATCAAATCAACCAGATTATGATTTTAAATTGCAATTTAATACAACACATTTAAGTCCTATGCTTGGAATTAAATATGTTATTACATATATTCAAGAAAGAATTGCATTTATAAAAGTTGCATTTCTAAAGATGTTATTAAAATTAGTGAGAAATCTGCATGCGTATATATTGTAATTTTTATTGTTAATCTATGATTGTCAATAAAAAACTTCAAGGTTATACAGTATTTAGTGAATAAATTGATATAAACTGTAGATAAATTTATTTGTATATTTTTACTTAGATAAGACTATCAGATAAAGTTGTATCAATCTATAACGAATTGCTATTTAAAAAAAAAAAAATACAAACACGAGAATTGATACATACTGTAGTTCAATACCATCAAAGATAAAGCATCAGTACAAATAAATAGATAAAATAAAGAGTATTACGCACGATAAAATGTTGTCGGTTAAAATTCTTCTTTATATTATATTAGTGTTAGTTAGCCTGGCTGTCCCAATGCTATAAAACATTTCGTTCAAACGATCATAAAACCCTCTTTTTTCTTTTTTTTCAAATATATTATATATATATATAAATACGGTATTTGAATTATCTAAAGAACCAAAAAATTTAAAAATTGGGCTCTGAATATCTACAAAGATTATTATTTATATAAATTTACAATTTGTGATTTCCTTATTTAATGTAGATAATCGTCGTCCCGTATAATTTGAAATAGGTTCATGAATGCTAAACCTTTTGGTACATTGTTGACGTCCACGTCGATCCCTTTCTTCTCATTTAAAGTTGCCCCTTGGTTTGTAGCATTTATTCCATCTTCCCGACAGGCGTTGACCTCTTCGTCACTAACTCCTTCGGGATCTTGTGGCAACCAAACTACAGGTTGTTTGGCAACAAATGCTGGATTCAAATATGTAGTTGCACCTTGGTCTTCCTCTTCTTGAGTATGGGTGATGTGAACTTCGTCAGCATTGTCCTGAATCTTTTCCACCTCATGTTCTTGGACTGAGGTCTTTCCAGTTTCAGTAATTACTTCCAAGTTCTTCATGTTGATCACACCCATGAGATTAGCCGGCAAGAAATCCACACTCGGATTATGTTTGAAGTTTAGTCCCATGACCCAAATTCCTGAGACCGTTAGGATAAATAGTACTACCATCAACGCACCGGGAATGAAAGCCTGGTTAAGGAGCATTAGGCCAATCATTGCCAATTGATATATATAGATTCCCGCACAAAATTGGGAAATGCCCTTGGGGAATATGAGTCCACCACTTTGATAGACTTGATTATAAACATATAAGAAATTGTACTTATATGCGCAATAATATAAAACAAAACGTAATGCAACAATCGGCAAGATTATTGGTTGGATTGATGAATATACCAGTCCTGATTTGTTGTTGTCAGATTAGTGAAAGAGTCGTTTGATTTAAAATGGCAATACAAGAAAATTGAATCATACCAATTGCAGCCATCAATATATGAGGTGGAAAAGAAGTGCCCCAATCCATCATAGTCAGAGTTCTCTCAAGATCCCAAGCTTGACGAGGAGTTTTGACCAAAAATTTTTTAAATAGAATGTTCACAACCAAAGGTCCAATTTGGAAAAGTTCCAGTGCCGAACCTGATAACGAGAGGAGAACATAAGTGAGGAAGAAAGTAGACGCAAGAGGCAGATTTTGAGCAAGAATTTGCACGACGGATGTCGGATTATGAATGAGAGGTGGCAAAGCTTCAAAAATTCCGTTGGCGAATGTGGTGACCAAAAGAACATTAAAGACCTAAGAAGGTCAATCGGTGCACATTATTTAAAATTGTCAATACAGATTGCAAAGTAAGGAGAAGTAGAGATTGCCGTACCAAAAAGTAGTAATATTTTGTTTGAAGGCTTATTGCTACGCCGGAAACTGTAACAATTCCTTCGAGCTTCGACAAAACTAAAGAATAAAGATACGTCGGATTTATATATGTTGTTTTTAATTTTTTCCAAAAAAAAAAAAAAAAAAAAAAAGGAAACATGCTTGGAACAAGACTTACTTCTAAACACTATGGGTAACAAAATCATTAGGATCGCCAAACCTACGGCAGGCAACACACCTTGGATAATACCAATCACACTTGAAGGAAGTTTATCGACCACCGGTTGAAGAAAAGGAATAACCTCGGTCAACTTTGAAAGTTTGCTTATGGACGCGACAAACGCGACTAAAAATATATATAAGAAATTGATATGTGCAACGCTATCGCAACAAAACAAAATAACATAATAATAATCCTACCAGGAATTAACCAAAGCAAGGTCAATGCAGTTGAAACGGAAAAGCTAAACAACCTCCTAACCATTTTCTGTGAACGTGGTATATTTAAATTCTCCCAAATTACATCCCCCGGAGAAATTTCGGTTAAATGTGGGATGGTCAAGTTTGCAGCCATTTGTGCGCCGACGTAATTGTTGAATTGAATGAATGCGGAATTCAATTGTCTAAAATCTTTAATATTTTTTAGTCTTTCGTCGATTTTTCCATTGATCGTTCGTAGTTCACGCCGATAAGTTTCAATCGAATCAACTTTTGAACCAATCACCGGAGATGTCCGGTGAACCGGTCGTAGAGCTTTGGGAACCTTCGACCCGGCCTCAATATCCTCTTCGCCACCATCAACTTTCTTTTCAAGATGAATTGCATACGTGCGAATCAGCGCGGTCTCGGAAGCCTCAAGTTTACCAATTAGACCTTCTCGTTTTGTGTGAAGTTTCGAGATATTATCGGGATCTCTGAAAAAAAAAAAAAAAATCGTAATTAGTCAGTGAAGGGGGGAAGTCATGTGAAGAGACAATAAGAGTTTTCGCGAGTTTCTACCTATTAATCCATATCCGCCTCACGCCACCAGGAAAAACATCGAACAACCTTTTCAATTCATTCTCGTTGTTTAATTTATTCGGTATGCCCAGAACCAAAATGGTGGTGGCGCGCGGGGATATACGATGCTCGGGTGTCGTGAGATATTCATGACGTAACCTAATGTAGGTGAGAGTTTCTCTGTATAGAAGATACAAAATTACACCTAATGATCATTTTTTTCAATGCATCATGTTAGGATAAATTATGATGATGGGGGACATTCTCAAGTAGTGAATTGCCAACAAATTCCCTTTTCCCTTACCGCTGAAAAAATATGCCGCGATCACGTGAGCGTAAAGCCTATTACTGTCGCTTATGTTTCCCATTGTGAAAGAGTTTAGCCCCGGTTTGCCCAGTTGATTGATGTAGTTGACCGGCAAGAGGATACCTATGCCGACGATGGTGAATACCGCGTAGATGATCGCAAATAGTCGAATGAACCTGAGGAACATGTATGCGTCCAGACCAATTCGATTCACCACCTTATCGTCGGAAATTTTGAGTATTGGTATCAGCCATCCTAGTAAACCCCCGTGCGATGACTCGGAACGTTTTCTGAATTAAATTTTTTGAAAATGAGATTGCGTCGAATTACTTGACTCGAAACAGGTTATGATAGCTTACTCTTCCGGAACCAAATATGTCCTTGGTTCATAAACTTTTTTATTCCTTTTTCTTGTAATTTCAAATGCGATGAATAACCCGCCGGTGAGCGCAACGTTGAAAACTACTGAAGATGTAAATGTCGGTATGGATGAATCGGTTGATGTTTGTGCAGTACTGTTGGTCGTCATCTTATTATTATCAACGAATTATGAATAAACGAATATTTTACGGGCATGAAAGAAATAATTTATGAATTATTAAGATATCGAGAATATTGCATGTTTCTTTTATATCTCACATTAGGCGCAATCTCCTCCGTTTCTAAATTTGGGAATTTGGTAATTGCGATTGATGCATTCTTCAAAAGATTTAAAAAAGTTATGGTCAAACGGTCAGGATCGCTACTGTCACCTCGACTTGGGTTTAACAATCGTATTAATAGCGCACACACATTGATTGCATATTAACCGGTTTGCGCCATGTTACACGGTCAACCAAGCTTTCTTTCTTTTTGCGTCAGGCACTGCCACCTTAATTTATCAACAAAAAAAGTTTCTGTGATTGTTGCTGACCGAATTACTCGATTTTCACATCGCACCTGCACGGTGTAACAGAGATTCTGAGAGCCAAGCACTTACATAATATTTTCCGCATCGTGCGTCACAACAAAATCACTTTTGCGTATGTGATGCACTTGATGCATCCATTTAATATTTCCCTATTAATTTTTCATCTGTAATTGTCAGCTTTTTTTTTTTTTACAAACAAATATGTAGTTAGTTACATTACGGTTTTAATTTTATCCAATACTCGCATATACAAAAACAATATACAGTATACCCCATCTTTGTTATGCCGGATCACTACTAGCTAACATGTCATAATCAAGTTGGAACATGAGGTTTGGCGATTCGAGCTGAAATGGTAAACATTGGAGTTCTTTATGACTCTTTCTTTTTCTTTTCTTGTTTAGAAAATACATCGCAACAGGATTTATCAGGTTGGTAGAATCCCAAACACTCATTATCGGGTCTCCGGGGTTATGTGATAAGGTGGTTTGATTATATGGCATCGAGACGAGGAGCAATTTACGTATGCAATTCTTCAACGTATTATGTTTCACCCCACTTGGCGTAAATCTCGATTTGCATTTAATACATATTTAAGGCAAGCAATAATACAAAACACAAAGTCTTCGTATAAATCATTCATTCGTCAATTCACAACAATTCACGCTATACTGTAATTGGGAAAGCTCAAATCCATGAGTCTTTTCTTATTTCGCAATATACTGTACGCATGTACTGTATATTTATGAAATAACTCTCATTTCTTATAATTGCAGTAATCGCGATAATTAATCGTCAAAATTTCAATGGATGATTAAATTTTTAGAATCACAACTAAAATAAGGATTCTTTTGATAAATTCATTTGTCATATAATTTAAATAAATAAATATCCATAGAATCATAGAATCATAATCTACAGTAATGACCTGTAGACAATGATTTTACTGGTTAAAGGTTAATTCAAATCAGCAAGGGAGTGAAATATCATTTCCCAAGTTACATCTAGAAAAATAAAATTTTCAGCAGTGGATGAGATAACATGTGAAGTTCATAGCAACTGTAATAATCAGTATATATACAATAAAGACATGCCATGTTAATCTGACTGCAGATTAAAAAAAAAAATAATATTAATAAATCCATACAATCATATATATTTTATTTTTAATCACTCAATTATCATTGATTATCCGAATCCTGCCATTTCAATTAAATCATATTTATCATATTTTATACATTAAAAATATTTAAATGTAATAATTTAGAAAACACAAAATAAATATCTATAGAAAGCTATTTCAACAACATTTATTAAATTAAACTAATTACTTATTTTTTCGGCGGCAATGGATTCTCCTGTTCCAAGTATGATAGAATCATTTTGTCCTTTTCGGCCTGTCGAAAATTTTAATTGAATCAGCACAGTTCATTGCGAAGTAAGAGGTTTTTTCTTATACAAGTTTTCTTCTTCCCCAAACATACCAGAACCTTCTTAACCCTGCAAAAATTTCTAATCAACTTTTTGCGATGATTAACCAATTCAATGCCCATCTGTTCCAACTGAAAGTGATCCAACTCGATAATATCTTGCCATCTCATTCTTCGAAATTTTCGCGCATGCTTAGACAATCCCAGATATTTCAGCCAAGAAGGAAAATCTTTTCAATAAAAACAAAAAAAAATAAAATAAAATCAAAATAAAATCAAAATAAAATGAAAATAAATAAATAAATAAATAAATAAATAATAATAATAATAATAATAAAAGAGAAAACCACAATTCGTTTTTTCGATGGTACATTTTTAATCGTGACAACGAACCTTCCAACAAATTAAAATCCACCTTGATATATGATTCTATGAATTTTTTATTCCTTAGGGATCGGTACACAGGATCTCTTTTTTTATTTAGAGCGTACCTCTCGAACCGCTTTCTATTGTAGGGGTCCCGAACTAAAACAGGTTTCCCGTTCTTCACGTAGTACCTACGAAATGCGGGTGTGACAAGCTTATTTATAGCGCGTAATTGTTATGGTTTTAGTCTTAAAGAGAAGTTTACGTGTCCTCGTGGCTTTTATCAACATTATTCTTTGCTATGTCGTCGGCTTTATTGGAATGGTAATGCCGGAAGGAGACCGAACTGAAAATTTGATAAATTGATTGTGCTTCGCGAGAAAAGGTCAACCCGTTTATCCTCTGCGTAAAATTTCTAAAAGTTGGGGCCCGTGGAATTATCATTTTACAAAAGAAAAACGAGAATGTTAACATACACGTGATATAATTTGCGCACGTAATATATTTATTGCACGTGATATAATTTGCGCGCATAATATATTTATTGCACGTGATACAAATTTATTCGACAACTAAAAATACAAGCATTACGTATAGAATAATCAATATTCACGAAGGATGACATCAGACACCAAATGCCCAGCCTCTCTCTCCCTTCTTTTTCTCGACACAAGCATTCTTCACAATCTCATCCTCACACGCAAGTCGAATTCTTTCGGGCGTTGCCGGCGATCGAAGAGAAAATGGTTCGTTATTATTATTTGCAAGCCTGTAGCATGATGAATGATTAGACAAAAACTGACAATAACAACAAATAAGCAAAGTTCGTCACGTACCGAGCGGATTTGATCGCATCCCTGATAGCGAAAAATACCGAACTACCTAAGAATAATGGCGGTTCTCCAACTCCTTTGCTACTGTGAATTGTCTTTAGGTTAGGAAATTCTCCTTTGAAGGTGTAAACACGGAAATCTTGTGGAATATCCCTGCGATGAACATCATTTTATTTACAATCACTCAAAATCCTACGCGATTCAGGACCAATAATTCTTACCTGAAGCCGGGTAACTTGTAATTTCCAGGCCCCTTTGTGAAGACATGTCCATTTGGAAAATATAGAGTTTCCTCAATGGTGCACCATCCCGCCCCCTGCACAAAAGCTCCTTCGATCTGTCCGATATCAACAGCGTAATTTAAACTTCTCCCAATGTCCATAACTAAATCGGTGCGTAGGATCGTGTGATCTCCCGTTAAAGTATCCATTTCAACTTCTGTGCAGGCAACACCCATCGTGAAATAAAAGTACATCTGTCCCTCATTCTTGTCCCAGTCATAATCAATGTCGGGAGTTTTATAAAAACCGTTTGCGGATAGATTAACTCGGTCAAGGTATGCCGCTTGGATAATCTTGCATTAAGAGAATTGGAATTGATGAACGGAAATTTTTAAAATGGGAAAGGAGATATGCCAAGTCTTCTGAAATGACTCATATCATCACCTCTTTAAAATCTTTGTCCGGATGTTTTTCTCGATAAGGTTTTAACCTCTCGGCTAAAGTTTTGCAGGCGTTGGCGACCGCATAACCATTAAGGTCACTGCTGACGCTTGCGGCGGTCGGAGAAGTGTTGATGACCACGTTCGTGGAAGTTTCCATCAAATGAACTTAAGAAAAAAAATCAAAATCATACGAGGTTAAATGAGATCAAATTCAATCGCATTTGTTGGTTGCAGCAGTTTGAGTTACCATTTTCCAAAGGAACGTTCAGTGTCTCGGCTGCTATCTGCAACATTTTGGTGTGAAGACCTTGTCCCATTTCAACTCCGCCTTGAAATTAAAGGATGAAAAAAATTTTTCGGCAAAATGAAAATTTAAAAGAATCCGATGAAACATTTATATGCCTACCATGACTGACAAGCACACTTCCGTCTCGATATATATGAACCAGAGCGCCAGCTTGATTTAAGTGGAATGCGGTAAACGAGAGTCCAAATTTTGTTGGGACCAAAGATAGGCCTTTCTTACGCCATCTGTTCCTTGAATTGAAATCATCAACTTGCTTCCTCCGATTTTCGTAATCCGCACATTCTTTAACCTGCTGGAACAACTCAGGTATGTGCCAGTCGGTTAAAGTTTGATTGAAAGGAGTTTTTTGACCTTCCGAGTAGAGATTCTTCTCCTACGGAAGAATACAGCGTTGAATAGAATATCGGGTGAAAATGCGAGGAGTATGTCATGTTCGCTCACCCTCAATTCAACAACATCAATCCCCAGACGATCGGCAATCTCACACATAATATTCTCACAGATCATCATTCCTTGAGGAGCCCCGAAACCTCGGAAGGCAGTATTGGAATGAATATTGGTTTTGCACATTTTTCCAACTATTCTAACGTTTGGAATGTGATAGCAATTGTCCGAATGCGTCATTCCACGATCCAAAACGCCGATTGAGATATCAGACGACCAGCCGGCATTGATATAAATCTGAAATAAACGATCTGGTCAGCATGCATCTAGGTCAAATGGCTTTTACAAATAAAACAAATTGACGTACCTGCAAATCTAACGCCAAAAGCTTCCCGTGTTTATCGACACCGACTTTCCAACGTCCCAAGAAAGGATGCCGTTGTCCGCTTATTACAATATCCTCATCTCTATCCAGCATGCACCTAATCGGTCTTTTGGTATTCCATGAACCAACCGCCAAAGCCAGGGTCAAAGGTATGGTTCTCGACTCCTTACCGCCAAAACCTCCACCAAGTCGTTTGACTCGACATACAATTTTATTGGCCGCGATACCGAGCACGGATGCACATACCAATTGAGTCTCGGTGGGATTCTGAGTAGAAGCGTGAATTTCAATTTCACCGTCCTCTGGTTTTGGTATTACCAAGGAGGCTTGAGTCTCCAGGTAGAAGTGTTCTAAGAAATATGCAAAATTTGACTTGATTTAATTAATCCATATTAAAATGTAACCTAACCACGAAGAGGAATTGAACACTCCCACTAACCCTGCCCTCCGACCCTCGTTTCACCTGCAATAATTGGTTAGAACATTTTAATTCTCATTCACGATGACCAGATCAATCAAATTCTAATAGACCAACCTTCGAAAACAAAATCAGCCTCTTGAAAACCTTTCTCAATGTCTCCGTTCGATAGGTTCCTGGTAATTGGATAAAAGCTATCGTGCTCGATCGCCTCCTCGATGGTTAATACGTGAGGTAAAATTTCGTATTCCACCTTAACCAGGTCAACTGCTTCCTGCGCAATTTCTTTGGAGACAGCCACAATTAAGCCAATTATTTGTCCTAATCGTATTTTTCAAAAGGGGACAATTGAACACAACGTTTCACACGTAAAATTCGGAATCAATTCAAATTTCAAACTTGCCCACACAATAAACTTCCTTGCTGGCGAAAACTTCCTCATCCTTAAATACCGGCCCCCATATATTATTACCCGGAACGTCTTTTGCTGTAAAGAATCCTTGCACTCCGGGTTGTACCAAAGCTTCGGACGCATCAATGCTAATGTTTGAAAAATAAACCGTCTCAGCTATTGTCGGTTATACACGGATGGTCATAATTAATTACCTTACTATTCTGGCACGAGCATATTTTGATATGACGAGAGCACCATACAGTTCATCATGGACCTTGGGCATGTCATCAGTATAAATCGCCTCACCGGTCGCCTGTTTCATAGCCGAAGTGTGAGGAATTGATGAACTACCGACAAATTTCATTTCCTCCCTGAAATAACGAATGCGTATAAAACGTGGGCTCAACTTCCGGTTGTTGTCAAATAAAATTAAACTCACTTACTCCGGTTGACCAATCACTTGGAGGCCTTTTGAAACATTACGTTCGATGATTCCAGTAAAATCTTCGTCTCCTAAATTGGCTGTTTCAATGCCCACCGATTTAGACACATCATACCAAAACTTGTACATAAATCCTCCAACCAACGATTTACGATATGTCGCCATGCCACCAGGTGCGGAAAAACTCAATTGCAACTCCTGG